CCTACCTCTGTGGCAGTTTCTGAACCTCAGCGCTACTGACATTTTGGGCTGGATTATTCTTGTTGTGGAGGATCGTCCCATGCATTGCAAGATGCTTAGCAGCATCCCTAGTCTCCACCCACGAGAGGCCAGTAGAATTTCCTCTCACCTCCACACCCTCAGTTGTGACAACCAAAAATATCTCCAGACACTACCAGATTTCCCAGGGGAACAAAACTGCCCCTGGTGGAGAACCCTTACTCTACCAAGGAAGTGCTGGCATTTCAATTTCATTTAGTGGAGATCACCTTTTGGTCCAAGTTTCGGTCATTCTCAGACAGGACAGAAGGATTGCTTCCATTGGCAGAGGAGTCTCACTAAAATGTTAAGTGTTCAAAGACCCATTTCATTGACATCTGCCACATCTTCCCAATTTTCAGTGTCCCACTACTTCTAAAGCAATGGTTTAACTTTTTAACAGAAGTGACTCTGTGAGGTTGGGGATTGAATTTGTACTGTGATGAGCCACTCACAGGATTCGGGAGGCTGAGGTGAGTAGATCACTTGAGGTCAGGAGTTCGAGACCAGCCTGGCCAACATGGTGAAACCCCATCTCTGCTTAAAATCCAAAAATTAGCCGGGCATGGTGGCACGTGCCTGTAATCCCAGCTACTTGGGAGGCTGAGGCAGAATCACTTGAACCCAGGAGGCAGAGGTTGCAGTAAGCCAAGATCGCACCACTGCACTTCAGCTTGGGTGACAGAGAGAGAAAAAAGAGAAATAGGGTCTTGCTTTGTCCCCCAGGGTGAAGTACAGTGGTGCGATCACGGCTCACTGCAGCCTCAAACTCCTGGGCTCAAGAGATCCTCCTGCCTGCCTCAGTCCCACATAGCTGGGACTACAGTTAAGCATCATCATGTCTGGCTAATTTTTAAATTTTTTGTAGAGATGGGATCTCCCTATGTTGCCCAGGCAAGTCTCAAATTCCTAGGCTCAAATGGTCCACCTGCCTCAGCCTCTCAAAGTGCTGGGATTATGGGCACGAGCTACCAGGCCCGGCCTTTATTTTTTGTAGAAATAAGGGTCTCACTTCATTGCCCAAGCTGGTCTCGAACTCCTGACCTCAAGCAATCCTCCCACCTCAGCCTCCCAAAGTGCTGGTTTGACAGGCATAAGCCACTACGCCTGACCTAATGGGTGATAATTTAAGAAACTATTTTGCTACTACATGCCATGGACTGTTAGCATCCTCTTTATAACTGAAAACATGGTCATTAATGCCTTTAAATCTAAACAGATCAGAGAACCAATTGCAGATAACCCAGAACCACTTCAGAGAAGCTATCATCCTGGTTCTGTTCCTCTGGAAGCACTTATAATTCCAAACTGTATCAGTCAAGATTCAGACAAGCAAAACTACCAGTAGTGATATATAAAAAGCAATTTAGGCTGGGCATGATGGCTCACACCTGTAATCTCAGCATTCTGGGAGTCCAAGGCAGGAGAATCACTTGAGCCCGGGAGTTTGAGACCAGTCTGGGCAACATGGCAAATACCCTGTCTCTACAAAAAATTAAAAAGTTAGCCAGGCAAGTCGCATGCACCTGTGGTCCCAGCTACTCGGAAGGCTAAGATGAGAGGATGGCTTGAGCCCAGGAGGTCAAGGCTGCAGTGAGCCTTGCTCACACCACTGCACTCCAGCCTTGGCCACAAAGCGAGGCATTGTCCAAATAATAATAGTAATCATAAAAGAAGGAGGAGGAGGAGGAGGAAGAACGGGAGGAGGAGGAGAATGAGCAGGAGAATGGAGGAGGAGAATAAGGGATTAGAGAGATATGACCAAACATTTTTGGAGTTGGCTAAACAGTTTATGTGAAGCTGTTGCTTATGTTTCTAATACTGGGGACTGAAGTCAGTAAGGTAACAGTTGGGAAGGAAAGATAAACTGGAATCTGCAAGGATGAGCTAGAACCCAAAAAGACAGAAGAGAACTTGAGTCAGACTCACTGCCTCCCAGCTTTCCGTAATCTCCACTCCAGTTCCACCAATTCTCTTTTTTTGAGGGGGGAGACAGGGTCTTGCTCTGTCATCTGGGCTGGACTGCAGTGGCATGATCACAGTTCACTGCAACCTCAAACTCGTGGGCTCAATTGATACTCCCACCTCAGCTTCCCTAGTAGCTGGGACTACAGGCATGCACCACCATGCCCAGCTAATTTGTTTGTTTTGAGATGGAGTCTCACTCTGTCCACCCAGGCTGGAGTGCAATGACGCAATCTCAGCTCACTGCAACATCCACCTCCAGGTTCAAGCGATTCTCCTCACTCAGCCTCCTGAGTAGCTGGGATTACAGGCGCCCACCACTATACCTGTCTAATTTTTGTATTTTTAGCAGAGATGGGGTTTCACCATGTTGGCCAGACTGGTCTCAAACTCCTGACCTCAAGTGATCCACCCGCCTTGGCCTCCCAAAGTGCTGGGATTACAGGCATGAATGAGCCACTGTGCCCCGCCCTAATTTTTTAATTTTTTTGTAGAGATGGGTCTCGCTATTTTGACGAGGCTGGTCTCTAACTCCTGACCTCAAGTGATCCTCCTCCCTTGGCCTTCCAAAGTGGTGGGATTACAGGCATGAGCCCCCACCACCCACCTGTGTTTATATTGTTTATAAATAAATGCACAGTTTGGCTGGGCATGGTGGCTCACGCCTATTAATCCTAGCAATTTGGGAGGCCGAGGTGGGTGGATCACCTGAGGTCAGGAGTTCAAGACCAGCCGGGCCAACATGGTGAAACCCCATCTCTACCAAAAATACAAAATTAGCTGGGTGTGGTGGCGTGCACCTATAATCCCAGCTACTAGGGAGGCTGAGACAGGAGAATTGCTTGAATCTGGGAGGCAGAGGCTGCAGTGAGCCAAGATCGCCCCACTGCACTCCAGCCTGGGCGAGACAGAGAGACTCCATCTCAAAAACATAAAATAAGTAAATAAATACACATTTTGAGAGGCATGTTCAACATATTTACTTAGGTAAATTTAGAAAGTTTAGAGACCACCTACCTGTGCAATGTAGAAATCTCATACGTAAGGCCAGGCACAGTGGCTCACACCTGTAATGCCAGCACTTTGGGAAGCCAAGGCAGGCAGACCACCTGAGGTCAGGAGTTCAAGACTGGCCTGGCCAACATGGCAAAACCCTGTCTCTACTCAAAATACAAAAATTAGCTGGGCATGGTGGCAGGCGCCTGTAATCCCAGCTACTCGGGAGGCTGAGGCAGGAGAATCGCTTGAACCTGGGAAGCAGAGGTTGCAGTGAGCTAAGATCATGCCATTGTACCACTCCAGCCTGGGTGACAAGAGCAAGACTCCATCTCAAAACAAAAAAACCCAAAATGTCATACGTACAATAATGAATATATGGGTTTCACACTCAGAAGAGGGATCTAATTTCAAGATCTGATGCCTTCATAACTGAGATGGGTATAGGCTGGTGGTGGTGGTATGTGAGTTGTAGTTTAAATCTGTAACTCCCTAACTTGCTTTTGGGTGTGCACATTTGCTGACATCCTTGGAACTCACTAAAGCAGCTCCTCTCTTTCTTACCCTATTCCTCCTGGCTACTTCCCCCTTTCTGCATGCCCCCGGACTCTGTGGAAGCCATACAGACCATCTGTCTAAACTCACAGGCAATTCACCCACTAGATCATAAATCCCTAGAAGCAGGAAGTCGATCCATTCACCATTTGTTTTCCTCGGGATACCGAGTACAAGTAGAGACTGAATAAATGTTTGCTAATTGAGATGACTACTATTTTTATCTTAACATCTGGTCAAATTTTCCCACTTTCCTAACATTTCACCAATATTTTGGTGGCACAATAACATCATAAATTTAAGTTGATATTGATTTTAAAGGGCTCCTAGAGTTTTTTTTCTAGAGTTACTTGTATGATCCAAACCAAAAACTCATAGGAAGGAGGGCCTTTGTTTGTTTCTGTTTAAATTGTGGGCTAGTTTCATAAAAATACAACAAGTGGAAGAAATTCAGTGTTTGTTTCCCATGGATACTCAATTGATATACATCCTTCTTTTTCTAGGTGTTCTCTATTCTATGTATAAGGATCACATTAGACCTCGATTCTTCAGTGAGTCCAAAAAATGAAGCTATGTGCTGGAAGCAAGAAAGACAAGAAGCTTCTGAAAACTATTTATTATGAAGAGTAAATTTTCAATATGTAGCCAATTTTACTACAGAAGTGTTACAGAATGCTCATAGCCTTTGTATTTCAAGTCTCAATGTTTTAAGAAGTTGATTTCCAGATCAACAATCATAAACAGTCAACTCAGATATCCTGTGTTGATGTCTTTCAGAACCTAGGGCATGATTTTCTGACTTAATTTTTTAAAATTTTGTAGTTAGTGGCAGAACATAATCTGCCACTGATCTGTCAAACTAATGATAATCTGCCAAACCAATCTAAAAAGTTAAGAGTTATACAATGGTTACAGAAGACTTCTCTTTTCTCTTTTTTTTAGATGGAGTCTTACTCTATCGCCCAGGCTAGAGTGCAGTGGTGTAATCTCGACTCACTGCAACCTCCGCCTCTCAGGTTCAAGTGATCCTCCTGACTCAGCCTCCCGAGTAGCTGGGATTACAGGCGCCCACCACCACACCCAGCTAATTTTTGTATTTTTAGTAGAGATGGGGTTTCACCATGTTGGCCAGGCTGGTCTCAAACTCCTGACTTCATGTGATTCGTCCACCTTGGCCTCCCAAAGTGCTGGGATTACAGATGTGAGCCACTGCGCCCAGCCACAGACTTTTCTATATCCATGTTAAATGTGACACCCTATTCAAGACTTAATTCTCCCCAAATAGGGCAAAGTAATTACGGTTTCATAAACTCCTTTTTAGAATGGGTAATAATTACATCAGAGGAGAATGGTCATGTTGTTACATAAAGTTGGTTCACCACTTTACATCTCATACAGAAACTTGACCATTTTACCACAAACACATGTTTAACATTTAAATATTTTTTATTCATTTTTAGACTTTAAAGTATTTCTAAGAATACAAAGGTAAACTGCAAACAAATTTCTTTTTCCTGAGATGGCAAAAAGGATTTAGTCCAGAAGCGCTATTGCTAATGTGGTACGACACTGTAGAAAACACAAGAAACCAAAGCAGATGTTAAAGGTTAAGTATACCTGTGGCCTTGAACTCCTCTCTAACTGCCCTCAGGGTCTAAAAAATTAACTAGGCTTTGCTGAAGACATAACTGCCTTGACTTAACCTTAATCCCAAAGACTTCAAGCCTAGGAGATAAAAAAAAAAGTCACTGAAATAAAATCAAGAATATATGCAAGGTAAGATGATTTCTGGTGGGTACTTCCTTTTCCTCAGTGTTTCCTGTAATGGAGGTTTACGCTGACAAGAAGGTGAAGTCCAGTATTTGGGGACAAGAAAGATGTAAGAATATATGAAAATATGTCTGCACTCTGGATATTAACCTACTGTTCTGTGTATTATATACATTTTTCTCCATTGGCACAGATAATTATTTTAAAAGTTGTCAACTGTATCCATCATGAAGCTCTTCTAGTGCTACCAACAAGTACATATATTTTGGTCAACACTGTCCTCTTTGGAAAATAGGCAAGGAAAGAATCCAACTGCTTTATTCCATTAAAGTAAATATTCCAGCAGCTGGATCTAATATGTTCCATTAAGGTCAGGAAAACTGAGGACAGCTGGCATAGAAATAACTCATCCTTTCATGTTGGTTGTGCAATGAAAAGTATTTTCTAACCAGGCTACTAGAAATATTCTACCTTCTCAATATGTACTTAGCACTAAAAATAGATTAAGAGTTTAATTAGAAACTAGCTTTTCTTACAAAACCCAATAGGTTCCACAATTTTGTAATCTTACTCTGAGAGAGCTAAAGTAATATATTTGTTGCTTGAAAAAAAGCAAAGTATTCATTTGTTAAGAGTAGCTATGCATGAGAACCTACAAACTGTGTTTAAATTAAAATGTAAAATCACATTTGGAGAAAAGTTAGGAAGTATGCAGGATGTGAATTCACCCACTTCAGCTTGGGTAAAGTGGGAGGGTCACTGCATGAAGACCCTATAAACAGATAACAATACTTGAATTTGCAAAAGACTTCCTGGGCAGAGTTTTAGTGGCCTCATGTTGTAATGTCTGAAATTGAGAAGGCTGTTTATATCAGCCACTAAAACCCCTGCCTCTCTTACTAATGAAACTACTTCATATGCCTGGATACACTTTACCTGCCTTTTATATTAGGCTGGCACACAGTTATGTAGCAGCGACTGCTCAGTAACAATTACTTAATTGTACTTTTTCTGACATTCTGTGTATACATTGTCAGAACATCCTTTTACAGATTGACTCCATAGTGTTGAATGGCAGGAATGAAGTGAATGCACTCAGGTTATTCTTAAGATTGAATATATTAATATCTGCGTAAGTACACTTATAGTAATCCAGATTTATTTACCACAAATTGGAGAGTGAGTAAATATTCTTAACTTAGAAAAAAGCTTACCCAAGATTCACTCTTAGTTATCAACCTCCTGTACTGGCTTTGACATGATTCAGTTTGCTATGACATTTTCTGATTACAGGAGTTGTGTGACCTGAAGGGTACACTTATAAACCTGTATTCTCTGTTCCTAGTAACATACAGTTAAAGACTGGAAAAGAGCTATAGAAATTCCATAAGTACTTAACCAACCACCTCACCTTTCTATGAGTTTCACAACAGGATGTTTTTATTTTTTACCTTACTTTCCCCAACACTCTCTGGTAATGAAATGACTGAGAAACAAAACCGCCCAGAGAGGTGGGGGAAATCCAACAAACTGGTTCATCTAGAGTTGTTGTCCTATATAAAGAAACCAAAACACTAAAACTTATTTTCAGAGTCTCTTTTTCAAGTAAAAGCATATAATTGATGTTAATTCAGTCTCAATGTTAAGATCAGAAGGACTATAACCTGAGTTGCAGGGTTGGCTGCTCTTATTATCTGAAGTTTTAAGAGGCCCTGAAGTAGAAATGAGGAAATTTTAAAGTGTCATTTTAGAAATACCCCTGCCTCTTTAAGGGCCAAACAATTATAAACGAAGATAGGAAATGTCTGGATTTTTTAAAAAGTTTTACTGAAATGTAATAAGTTCTAAAATATGGCAGAGAGGTCATATATTTAATGCTGAAAGGGGAAAGTGATGCTCAAAGTCACACAAAGGCTGCAGGATTTCTGACAACACCTTTGGGGCTAGAAAGAAATGAGGAGTGGGCTGGATGCGGTGGCTCACACCTATAATCTCAGCACTTTGGGAGGCCAAGGCCAGCAGATCGCTTGAGCTCTCAAGTTCAAGACCAGCCTGGGCAACATGGTGAAATCCCATCTCTACAAAACATACAAAAATTAGCTGGGTGTGGTGGTGTGTGCCTGCAGTCCCAGCTACTTGGGATGCTGAAGTGTGAGGATGGCTTTAAGCCTAGGAGGCAGAAGTTGCAGTGAGCTGAGATGACGCCACTGCACGCCAGCCTGGGCGACAGAACAAGACCCTGTCTTAACAACAAAAAAGGCTGGGTGCAGTGGCTCATACCTGTAATCCCAGCACTTTGGGAGGCTGAGGCAGGCAGATCACTTGAGGTCAGCAGTTTGAGACCAGCCTGGGCAACATGGTGAAACCCCATCTCTACTAAAAATGTGATGCCTGTAATCCCAGCTATTCAGGAGGCTGAAAGAGGAGAATCACTTAAAGCCAGGAAGTAGAGGTTACAGTGAACTGAGATCACGTCATTGCACTCCCACCTGGGCGACAGGGCAAGACTCTGTCTCAAAAAAACAACAAACAACAACAACAACAGCAAAAACAAAAAGAATTAAGGAAACAACTTCCTGTTTAGGAAGGTGGGTGAAAAAAAAATCTCTACATGTAGGCAAGCAGTTTGTGATATGTGGACTAATCTTCCAAATCTCACTCTAGTACTAATCTCATGCCACTTAGTATAAATAGGTATTTTAAAGTGAAACGTTTAGCATTCCCTAGGAGATTCAACAATACAAATATTAGCCACTCCTAGAAATAGACTTTGGATCTAGAAATGGTGTTTGCTATGTTAATGGGAATAGTGGGAAGAAAATACATTGGCAGACTATATAAATATTAGAAGGAAGATAAATATCTTCACTATCTTATGTCAGGACTTACAAGTTAAATGTTAGAAGTTTCTTCTTTTTCTGCCTAAAACCTGAATGCCAGAATGAGCTGAGTTACAATGCAGCAGGGAAAACTGATCACTGGATAAAGTGTGGTTTCTGGATCTTGTTACTGGGTATTAAAGCTCTTTGGCAAATGCCTTCATATCTGTTTAATGACTAGAAAACAATTCAAGAAAAGTGACAACAAAGACAATAATTACAAAACAGGCTGATAACCAGCGTTAACTATGATTGCCAAATAGAAGAAATGTTTTTTAAGAAACGATGTGTTAATATGATGTGTTAATATCAGTAGATACAAAGGATATAATCTGGTTGATTAAAATCAAAGTGAAATTTAACTGACATAGCAAAATATCACTTTACAAGATAGTCAATTTGACCGGTTCATTGTGAAGAAGAGCATTATTCTCTTTCCTTTCTCACTTGTGATCCAGACAAAACAAATATCTGATATATCGAAACAATATTTAAAAAAAAAAAATACAAAAGCTCTATCAGTGTCATATAACCTTAAAACTCTACCCAAACTGAGATGCTCAGGTTTACATAAATATATATACATATATATCTTTTAAATCCCAGAGTCCAAGACACAAGCCCATAGGGGTGTGTGGCCCTCAGAGGCCAATTGTTTAACTCTGGGAGTGTAAGACTGTTGTGAGGTGGGTGGTCTCTGACCTACATTTATAGCTGTCAGTTTTGAACACCCTTCCCATGAGGAAATCTTTGCCTTTTGTTCAAAGTGTCTGAACAAAACTCACCTCTGAACTAACAGAGATGTTAACAGGACACCTGGCACAAAAAGGGCTTAGAAAAACGTGTTCTCATAGAGTCTCTCAGGCTGTCAGTCATCTAGACACAAGTGACTCAGCATCCATGGCGTTCAGAAGATAGAGTTCAGGCTGAGCTGTCAATCCCAGATGGCACTAAGGAAAAAAAGATGGAAGAGGGTTAGACTGATTTTCACGTATTTATTGAAATCAGCATTTAAGTACCTATAATTAGCACATCAATTTAGGCCTTTTTTCTGTACTGCTATGTTGATTTTTATTTCAGAAAAGAAATGGCTTACAGATACATACATGAATGGTTTCTGATATGCAAAATAACAGGTAGGAGCTGAAATAGTTAAGGACTAAGATGGTACCAAATGTCCTCAGCAAAATTAGCACTCTGACTATTCTTGTGACACAGTCTGCCTCAGGATGGGTGCTTCAAATCAGGATGAGAACAAACATGCAAAATGCTTTTGTATTTTACTACTGTGTGAATTAGAAATCAAATTTCCAATGGTTTCAATCCTTAGCCCTATTATCCTTTGGCACTGGAGCAGAGAAAAGTCTTTCATTTAAAAAACAAAAACATGAAATGGCATGTACTAAGAGGGAGAAAGATGACCTATGGGTCCCATATGTTTGTCAGGCTGAATAAGAATCACCGAAGCTGCTTTTAAAACACAATTCCCAGCTGGGCCCGGTGGCTGACGCCTGTAATCCCAGCACTGTGGAAGGCTGAGGCGCGTGGATCACCTGAGGTCAGAAGTTCAAGACCAGCCTGGCCAACATGGCGAAACCCCTCCTTGACTAAAAATACAAAAATTAGCAGGCCATGGTGGCGCATGCCTGTAATCCCAGCTACTCAGGAGGCTGAGGCAGGAGAATCACTTGAGCCCGGAAGGCAGAGGTTGCAGTGAGTTGAGATTGTGCCACTGCACTCCAGCCTGGGTGACACAGCGAGACTCCATCTCAAAAAAAAAAAAAAAAAAAAAAACCACACAATTCCAGACTCTGCTCCTAAAGAACCGAGTCTAGATGGTTTGTGTTGGGACCTGTGTGGTTATTTTTTTTTTTGCAGAGACAAGGTCTCACTATGTCACCCACGCTGGAGTGCCAATGATACAATCTTGGCTCACTGCAACCTCTACCTCCTGGGCTTCAGCCTTCCTCCCATCTCAGCCTCCCAAGTAGCTGGGACTACAGGTGTGTGCCACCACACTCAGCTTAATTTTTTTGTAGACAGGGTTTTGCCATGTTTCCTAGGCTGGCTATGAAGTTATTTCTTTTTACTTTTTCTCTTCCTCGAATACACCTTGGAACAACTTTGAGTTTCATTTTAGCCCTACTGTTATTACTTAGAGCTTTTATTGTTATCCTTTGGCACCAACAACCTCTAAGTTAACGCTGAATGCAGAATATAAATTTATTGGCAGCAACTATCCCTATTTTAGTATAATAGAAAGGCACTGGAGTTGGGTTCAAGCCCTTAACTTTACCATTTCCTACGGCCTTCAGCATGTCACATATACTTTTGGAGCCTTATTCTACTTATTTGTAAAATGTGAATAAATGGTACAATTGAAAATGCCAAGTACAGCCAGGCACAGTGGCTCACACCTGTAATCCCAGCACTCTGGGAGACCGAGGCAGGCAGACCACTTGAGGTCAGTAGTTTGAGAGCAGCCTGATGAACATGGTAAAACCCTGGCTCTACTGAAAATACAAAAATTATCCAGGAGCAGTGGCTCACACTTGTAATCCCAGCACTTTGGGAGGCTGAGGTGGGTAGATCACGAGGTCAGGAGTTCAAGACCAGCCTGATCAACATAGTAAATCCCCATCTGTAAAAATACAAAGATTAGCTGGGCTTAGTGGTGTGCGCCTGTAGTCCCAGCTACTTGGGAGGCAGAGGCAGGGGAATCGCTTGAACCTGGGAAGTGGAGGTTGCAGTGAGCTGAGATCGCACCACTGCACTCCAGCCTGGGCAACAGAGTGAGACTCTGTCTTTAAAAAAAAAAAATTAGCCAGGCATGGTGGTGAGAGTACTCGGGCGGGTGAGGCAGGAGAACTGCTTGAACCTGGGAGGCAGAGGTGGCAGTGAGCCAAGATCGCACCACTGCACTCCAGCCTGGGTGTCAAAGCTAGACTCCATCTCAGAAAAAAAAAAAAAAAGCCAAGTATACCAGTATACTATCTCGTGTTAGTCTTCAGCACATATATTTAACACATTACAAACTGCCGTGTATAACCTCACAGGCTTGTTGTGATGACTGTGTGAAGACAGATTAGACCAAATGATGCCCAAGATAAAACTATTTCCAACTAGAGGTCTAGGAAAACACTATATTACACTGGCTTTATGACATGGAAACAGCTCTTCAGACATCAGCTTGCTTAATTCAGGCTTAAGTAAATAATAGCAATTAAATATACTGACAATTCATTGAAGCCTTTCCCAAGTGAGCAACGGTGGTAGGCTTCTTCAATATGTAGTAAGCAAGGGTTGCAGTATTAGAACTGTGATGCCCACAGAGTGTCACTTAGATGACTTAGTTGATAGACTACCTTCATTGGAGATGTTTGTTATATTGTTCTGAGACACTGAGAAATGAGAATAAATGGCCTGGGAATGGGTTAAAATACTTCCAGGGGCAGACAGCTAATGCGAATGAGTGAACTTTTCAACTAGTAACTCTTGGCTATTGCTGGGATAGGACCATAGAGGACCCTGTCCATTCTCTACACTTGCCAAAAGCATTCGAGCTTACTTTTAAAATTCTGCACAGGGACCAAAATCTACCAGTTGGCAACTTCTGGCTAATGCATATTCTAGCACTAATCAGAGTATGAAACAAATGCTTCAGTGTGTTATGTTCCTTGTTCTGATAAACAATAAAGCTTGGCGACAACCCAACATGAAGGGTATACTACATATCATACAGGATAGTTTGGGAATGAAAACATGGATTCTGGAGTTAAGCTATGTGAGTTCAAATGCCAACTGTGCATTTCATTAGTAATGTAAATATGGGCAAGTTACTTTTGGCCTTCCAGTTGACTCATCTACATAGAGGTTGATCCTCTTGTTGTTACAAGGATTAAATGAGATAATACAAGTGTTCAGGCCGGTCTTAGAACACAGTACTGAGTGAGCCATTATACATTCATAAGCTAAGGGGCTGAGAGAAGCTGACACATTTAGAATCACTGGTCCTACCAATGAAGGAGCAGAAGGTATTCCAGAGGGCAGAGCTAAAGGAAATGTTTCCAAACAGGATCCTCACATTGTTTTGCATCCTATTTTAGTTCTGAAGTTAAATCCAAAGTAAGGAGAGAGCACTAAATGAGGAAGGACAACATGGAGAACAAAATTCTTCCTAGATAAATTCCACTGTGTTACTTACAGGGAAGGTTTACAACAGAGAAAGGGAAAATGAAGTTCTGGTGACACGCCTGGGACAAATCAACTGCTGACTCAAGTTTTCCTGTCATGTGTCTAGTAAAGTTCACTGTGCCTGAGCTCTGCCTTTGTTTTTAATAAATGGTGCCAATATTTCCATTTATATCAGGTCTGCCAAAATGTTTCTTGATCTTTAAGCTAAACGAGTTTGGTTTCTCTTCAAATAGTAATTTTCATTGGCAGCACATACAGAATGTAAAAGTGAAACAGTGAAATAAACTATAGGTAGAAAATATTCAGCTTAGAGAAAAGCAGAATAAAATTTTTTTCCCCAAGTTTAAACATGGTAATGATGTGACCTTTAGCTATGTAAAACTATTTGACTAAGTGGGTAAAGGGAACTTAATGTCCTAGTATCTGCAATTAATCCAAGCCTTCTGAGGACTAAATCCATTTATTTCTCTATCCTTTCTAAGGAGAAAATCCTAACAGTGTGGACTTAGTGTGCCATTCCAGGTGGTAGTTGCTGGTTCAGTATTTTTGTATCAAAGTTGTTGAAACCCTATTAATAAATTATTTCAGGGTTAAAAAAATACCCAGGAAACCAAATTGGAAAAAGAAATTTTTTTTTAATTAGAAACCAAGTTTACATATGGTTAAATGGTTACTAAAAGCTCAGTTGTAACCACTCCTAACACCACTAGCAGAACCTCAAGGGAGCCAAGAGCTCTTCCCTTTTCCCTTGTTAATTTCCAGTATAATGTAGCAGCACAGTTATTTCATGTCACATTTAAGGAGAACAAGAATCAATTTATATAAAGTACAATTGTGTATCCTTAAACATTCCACATAAACACACTGCCAAAACTCACTGGATATGCTGGAATTGGAGGACTTAAATTTCTTACGTATTGTTTATTGCACCCAGAGTACTGGTTAAAATGCACTTTCTCTCTGTGAGGATCAAATGCAATAAGGTATGAGGGTATTTTTTTTTTTTTTTTTTTTTTTTTTTTGAGACAGTGTCTCGCTCTGTCGCGAAGTACACACATAATATTATAAAATGCCATTTAATTGGAAGGAGTTTTCTATCATTGCAAGTCATATATATAACTTTTAAAAGAATACTAGCAGCTTTTGCTCCTAAATGCTTATAAATCTGAGACTGACTGGACCCACCCAGACCCAGGGCAAAGGTATATTTTACCATATCATCTTTATAAATAATTTATTATTTTTTTGTCAGTTTGGCCTTTCCTACTGCAGCCAGGTGAGAGTTTAAGATGTCAGTCCCCAATATCTTCACAGAGTGCCTTTATGACCAGTTTGGGGAATTACAATGGTAAGGGGAAGAGGCAGATATGAAGAGGAATGGTTAGGGGAATTGTCATTCATGACTCTGTGCTATATTACTTGACGGGCTAAGAAAAATGTATGGTCAGTGAAACACAGCAGTGTACCCTTAAATGCCTTATGACCATCCATCCAGTCTGTGCTTTTTTGACTGTGTGCAAATATCAGTAATAACGCTTTTGGGGGCTCAGATGAACAGAGAACGCCAATCAACCAGGACTCTGGAAGGAAAGCTCCAAAAACGAGAAGTCCTTCAACACCATTTCCCATTACTGTTCTCACCAAGTCAATGGCTATATAACAGTTTTGATTATTTATCTCCATCAAAGTGATTTGATTTGAGATAATCACACAATCTCAGGCTCGGTATGAAAAAATATCAGAAGTGGCTGAAGTAAAAGCAGCAGCTTCATGCTGAAGACACCCATTTCCTCTGACTCCAGAGCTCCACCATCTGGTCTCAAGATTTTTCCCTCTGAGGAAACAGCTGTAGAGAGGCAGCCCAGTTCAACCTTGCTGAGACAGTGAACTTTGCAACCATACTGACACCTACTGACTTGCGGAGAATGCTGAGAAAGACAGTGTGCTTTGCAACCGTTAAGTCCACAGCTCCTGAGATTGCCTTGCAAGTCATCTTGGATGTGAAGCAGAGTGGTGCATCAGAAAAACATGACGATTCTGGTGAGAGGTGGCCTTTAGGAACAAAATAGATGGCTCTCCTTCCCCCTTAAAGTCTTTTCTTCCCACCCTCAACATTTCATGAGAACATCAGTTCATAAATACTACCATCTTTTTCTATCACCACCCTCCTGGAGAAGGAAAGTGAAGGTTTTACAACTACATGTGCTCAAGAGTAAATATCATCAGGAAAGCTCTACACTAACAGGCAGGTTATTAAGACTCCCAAGAAATCCTCATAAGCTTTTCAATCTGAGGAAAATCCTGAGAAGGTAGTTAGTAAGCACCACCTAGCGGTGTGGTGCTGGTTTTGCTAGTTGTCAGTTTTTCCCCTTCTTTGTTTTCTCACCCCTCTTAACTTCCATTGAGAAATTAAAGTGGAAATAAGTTCAAAGAACCCTAAGCCTGATAGAGCAGGGTGTCTCTTAATTTTATATTTCATATGGATGAAGCTATTCTAGTTGAGAATTTTGTATAATTAAAATAATTGAAAAGGTATGTGTAAGGAAAATTTCTCAGCCTTTAAAAATCCATTACATTTTGATAAATAAAACTTGCATACTCATTCTGTAGTTTGAATAATAAAAAATGTATTACATTTTCCAATTTTTTTTTTTTTAACATATAGCCTGGTTAAGAACCATGCATATCCTTGTCTCTCCCAAGGATAAATTGAGCTAGCCCTTGGGCAACTACTTAAGAACTTAGTGTTGGAATGATAGCAGCAAATGTCAGCTTTTCAAAGATCCCACCCTAGTCCAGTTCCAAGGTTACGAGGTCAGGAAGAAAAAAATAATTCCATCTTTCAAACATACATGAAACAAAGTCTTTTCCAACCAACGGTTGAGTCATAAATGCAGTCTGTGCAACGGCACATACTTTTGGCTATGTTCACACAGTAAACCATAGAAACACACTGGCTCTGATGGCTACCTGCAGAAGACAGACTAATCCAGTGTTATTTAGTGTAGCCACGGGTGGCTTCTTCTGTCAGCAGGGCTTTAGAGATGCTTACCGTATGCCCACAGTCCAGGAAGGACATGCCCAGTGCAATCAAACATTGCCAACCCTGAAAGACAAAACATGGTCATCACTCACCAGGCTCTTTGAAGAGCCATGACTGCTCACACAGCACTTCTCAAATGCAAATCTGCTCCCTTCCTTGAACATCCAGCTGTGCCCATCTTCTACCACCAAGGGTAGTGTAAGTCATTCTCTCAACCCCACCCCCCTTTCAAAAAATCATCTGCCTTCCTCAACAAAGTTTGTCCATATTATTTTTAATATTGAATTTCTCTGTTCTTACTGCTTTGTGTCTGTGGTTTTCCTTTTTTTTTTTTTTTTTTTGATCTTTATCATTATTTTGCATTTTAGAGACAAGGTCTCCCTCTATTGCTCAGGCTGGAGTATAGTGGTGCAATCATACCTCACTGAAGCCTCGAATTCCTGGGCTCAAGCAATCCTCCCTTTTCAGTCTCCTGAGTTGCCAGGATTACAGACACACATCACCATGCCCAGCTAATTTAATTTTTTTTGTAGCGACAAGGTGTCCTGCTATATTTCTCAAGCTGGTCTAAAACTCCTAACCTCAAGTAATCCTCCTGGCTCGGCCTCCCAAAGCACTGAAATTACACGCATGAGCCACCTCATCCAGCCTGTTGTTTGTTTCTTTTATCCAACTATAAGTTTTCGGAAGTCCACTTTTCCTCAGTCCTCCCCATGATGAGGAGAATGACTAACAGACTAATACAATTGGTGTAGTCTCCTAAGCTGCTCTATGAAGTTCCTGTTTTGAAGCTAAACAGCAGTAACCCACTCTAGAATCAGCCCTCTCCTCTAAAAATAGGCCTTCAGGCCAGACGCAGTGGCTCACGCCAGTAATCCCAACGCTTTGGGAGGCTGAGGTGGGTGGATCACCTGAGGTCAAGAGTTTGAGACCAGCCTGGCCAACATGGTGAAACCCATCTCTACTAAAAATACAAAGATTAGCCAGGCGTGGTAGCACGTGGCAGTAGTCCCAACTACTCAGGAGGCTGAGGCAGGAGAATTGCTTGAACCCAGGAGGCAGAGGTTGCGGTGAGCTAAGATCATGCCACTATACCCCAGCTTCGGCAACAGAGAAAAACTCTATCTCAAAAATAATAATAAAAATGGGTCTTCAACAAGCTCATTAGCCTTAGGCTGACTGAGGACAAACTGGCACCTTCATATCCAATTTGCATTACAAAAGGGTACCCCTAACTTCTATAGTGAATTTTTAAAAACAATTCCTGTCAAGGATATACTCAGTTACTTGGTTTTCCTTGAAGTTAAGTTCCTAGATCACAGGATCAGTAGTGCCCAAAGTTTATCAGGAAGAAAAAAAGAAGAGATATATCAATTTAGGAAATAATTTTTCAACATTTACTGAAGTAATTTTCTCAATAAAGTATCTAACGTGTGGCACACTGGTGTGGGGAAGTGTTCTAGAGGTTAACAGCAGGTTTCCAGCCTCCATCTTTAGCCATTCTCTGCAGCAAAAATGATATAAATTCTGCTATTCCTTATCCCCAACTCCTGTGTTTTTTCAAAGAAACCTATACAGAACAGGGAAATGGATCTGTTGTTATTTTGGCTGTTTTTCATTAATATAAGCAATGTTAAAGAAGATTTGGAAAATAGAGAATATATCTATAATCCTACCTTCCTACAACAAATTATATTGCCATTTTTATATAATTCTAGACTTTTCAAAAATTTTTTTATAATTGGAATATAAATTTTACATACTTTTTCATGTAGCTATAGTTTTATAACCACGATTTTTAAAAAATGACTCTAGAATGAGAGTCAAGGAAAGACTATCACTATTTACTTATTTGCTTGGACAGCTAGTAAGTGATGGAGCTGAGGGGGGCTGTGCGCCGCATGTGTCCCACCCTGAATCTCTAAATCACACTGCATGCCCCATTCTCCACCTCTGTTTTGTACTGTCCTCCATACTCTGTACTGCTACCCTTCTTTTAGTTCCTCAAACATACTGTACTCTCTTGTTAGGAATTACTAAGAATGGAAACCACAGAAGTGACAGAAATTGAAAAAATGACAAATCTTAGTAACCAAAGTGAATTTTATGGTTAGAAATATTATTTTGTAAACAGCTGGATTTGACAATTTCATATAAATTGTCTCAATCACCTGGAGGTAGATTGTTATGTGCTATTTTGGGTCTGTTCATTTCTCTTTTTTTGTGGAGATGGAGTCTTACTATGTTGCCCAGATTGGTCTCTAACTCCTGGACTCAAGTAATCCTCCCGCCTCAGCCTCCCAAAGTACTGGGATTATAGGCATGAGCCACTGTGCCCAGCCTGGGTCTGTTCATTTCTGAATGTCAGTGAACCCCACCTCTACCATCCCTGATACCTATGCCCCTGCTCTTCCAGGCTGGACTTACCAAGTAGAACACAAAGCCCAGATAAGCCACGCTGACCACAGCAGCCACCACATACAATGCCACATGCCCTAGTTCCTGGACATAAACCACTACAAAGTACATATTGATGGAACAGATGATAAGGACCAAGATTCCTCCTGCAATCCGCCAGCCTCTGTAAAAGAAATCAGCACAGTTACTGGTGGAATAATCCAACTTGGCCACAGACAGAAAAGGAAACTGCATCCTGTGGAGTAAACAGGACGGGAATTAGAGGCAGTTCAAAATGAATGGAAAAACTGTTCTTAATTTGGAAAAAAAAAAAATGATTCTTCATAAGTCTAAGTTAAATCACCCAAAGTTAGATACTGATAGGGAGAAAGAGTGGGGAAAAGACACCAACAAATAATCCCTAATATTTAAGTCCCTAGAGATGCAACAAGGCCTAGAAATGCAATGAGTCATTTTATTAATGTTCCCAGAAATGCAACAAGTCACTTCAGATACCTCATATCCTTTGAAGATATATATAAAAGGTACTAACTTATGCCTTTCTTGTTAAGATCATTTAACAAAGAATTAAGGTGCCTCAAACTTCCGTGACTGAAGCTGAAGAGTTATGCTGTAAAAGCTGAACTTTCTTTCCCTTCCAAATGAAAGATGTGCTTTCTCTTCCTTTACTATATTCACAGTTTCCATTCTCTAAGCCAAAGAGGAAGCAGTTAGCAATCACCTCTCAAAGCATATCACTTCCCTCTATGTCTCACGTCTGACTGGCCTACTGCATGAAGATACCCTTTCCCCACATCAGCATCCCCTTTGGGAACGAAGAAGAGTACACTCACAGTCCATTGGCAAAGTCACTCATTACTGGCCGCAAGCTCGTAAATGTGAGGATGGGTATGAGGGCAAAGGGAAGCTGGAAAAGAAAGAAGATCAGATGGGATTACTATGGGTCCTTGTATCACCCTAGAGAACAGCACAATTAATGAAATGGAAACATAAATGCTGCCTCAACTACTCCATGAGATATAATTATTCCTATCATCCCAACATGCTTGGGCATTACAATGAATTCTGTAGAGCTGTCATTAACCTAGCACACAAACCTTTGTACATGACTTGTCTCTTTAACCTCCACAAGACCTAGCACAGTGTCCTATATGTTCATTTAATGTTTGCTTTGCATTAATGAACTACAATTTTGTGTTCCATGTGTAAGTAAAGCTCATAGTTCGCATTCAACAGGTTTAAAAAACCAAACCATTTCTACAATCCTTTTAGATGCCAAGGATTTCTGCAGACCACATTTACTGCAGACCACAACCATGCCTCTGCCTTCCTCTCAATATCCCCCCAGCACCCAGCTAGGCTTGGTACCCAAGGGCAGTACATAATGCTACCTGAATAACTAGGATGTGAGTTTCCTCAGCTTCCTCCTCACCTGTAAGCTCTGTAGAACATTCAGGAAGTCATTCATCCCTGTTAGATGCTCTACATCTTGGAAGACAGCAACAAGCAGAGTGGGGATGATGGCAATAGAGCGAGTCAGAATCACTCGGGCAAAGCGTGACCACTTTAGGTTCAGGAATCCCTGGAAGAAAACATAGGAGCAGGATGACTGTCTGCAACAGGAAACAAAAGTTTTGGGGAGGTTTAGGAGAGACCTCAGAAGAATGGGATTGAGAAGTGACAAAAGGGGCCAGGCTCAGTGGCTCACGCCTGTAATCCCAGCACTTTGAGAGGCCAAGTGGGTAGATCACCTGAGGTCAGGAGTTCAAGACCTGCCTGGCCAACATGGTGAAACCCCATCTCTACTAAAAATACAAAAAATCAGAAAATTAGCCGGGTGTGGTGGCCAGAGCCTGTAATCCTAGCTACTCGGGAGGCTGAAGCAGGAGAATTGCTCAAACCCGGGAGATGGAGGTTGCAGTGAGCCGAGATCACACCATTACACTCCAGCCTGGGCAACAAGAGTGAGACTCCATCGTAAAAAAAAAAAAAAGAAGTAACAAAAGGGTTATGTTATCTCCTTCTATGCTATACCAGCACATACCTCCATGACGAACTGGCCAGAATAGGTTCCTGTCATGGTGGAGCTCTGTCCTGCAGCCAGGATCCCCACTGCCCAGATGTAGAGTGCAGCAGGCCCAAAGTAACATCCCAGCACGACACCCTGTGAGAGGCCAAGAAAAAGGATATGATTGTGTCAATAATCTGCTCAGACAATATCCAAAACAGCGGCTCCCTGTGGCATTTCTCCCTTCTTCCTTGCTATGCACCACCCACGCCAAGTGCCGTGCTGGGCACTGTGCCAGTAGCTAGGCTCAAGTCCTGACCTCATTCTAGAAGCTTTCAATCTAAACTTTACTGGATGTTCCTTCGTTTCTCTGCCTAGTCCTTCCTCTTCTCCAAGCTCCTAAACCTCCATCTTAAATATTAAAAAAAAAAAAAGAAAAAGAAGAGGTCTACACCACATTCCCCAAATTATATTCCTTTACACACTATTCCGGAAAATGGCAATAGAAGTACAGGGAAATATCAAATAAATTTGGGAAATGCTACACACCATATATTCTACTGTTGGAGGATCACAATGTAACCAGCATAAAAGAACTGAGAGACTCCAGTAAAAACACTTTACTAAGAACACTTTCTTGGGGCTGGGTGGGGTGGCTCACACTTGTAATCCCAGCACTTTGGGAGGCCAGGGTCGGAGAATCCCTTGAGCCCAGCAGTTCGAGACAAGTCTGGGCAACAAGGCAAAAACCCTGACTCTACAAAAAAAAAAAAAGACAAATAAAAAAAAGGCCAGGCATGGTGGCTCACACCTATAATCCCAGCACTTTGGGAGGCCGAGTGGGGGTGGATCACCTGAGGTCAGGAGTTCGAGACCAGCCTGACCAACATGGAGAAACCCCATCTCTACTAAAAATACAAAAGTAGCTGGGCGTGGCAGCGCAAGAACAAAACTCCGTCTCAAAAAAAAAAAAAAAAAAAAAAGCTGGGGTGTATACTGCATCTTTTTTTTCTTTTCTTTTCTTTTTTTTTTTTTTTTTAAAGACAGTCTTACTCTGTCGCCCAGGCTGGAGTGCAGTGGCCCAATCTCGGCTCACTGCAACCTCTGCCTTCCAGGTTCAAGCAATTCTCCTGCCTCAGCCTCCTGAGTAGCTGAGATTACAGGTGCCCACCACCACACCCAGCTAATTTTTGTATTTCTTTTTTAGTAGAGACAGGGTTTCACCATGTTGGCCAGACTGGTCTTGAACTCCTGAGTTCAAGTGATCCACCTGCCTCAGCCTCCCAAAGTGCTGGGATTACAGGCGTGAACCACCGTACCTGGCCTGTATAATGCATTCTTTTCAACTGAGCCTCTATTACTTCCCATTTAATCCAAAATGCTTGTCTGGTGTCTGGAGTTCTGAAATAAATGACACTCCAGAGGAGATATGCTCACATCTAAAGTGAAGTCACAAAAAAGACCAGATACTATGCTAAAAATATTGATTCAGGAACAAAGATCACAAATCCAAACATGCTTACCCCTTTGTAGATGTCCACAGCCAGTGTCGAGTTATCTTTAGGAAAGAGGCCAGCATGAGGACTGCTGGTGTTCGTACAGACTTCAACCTAGAACCCAAAGCAGTTCAAAAGCAACTTTTGTTTCAGAAGCAAGGACCAAATAAGAGCTTTCCTACATATCATACACAGTCATCTATGAGAGGTAGGCTGGAGGGAAAACATTGAACACTGGATATATGCTGTGATGTGGGCAGAGACTGACAGCAACGTCATCTAGGATCTTCCTCTATAATCCTTCTACACCCACAGGTCATCAAAAATCTTCACTGAGTTACAGTGTGCATGATAATAATGTACAAACGCCAGGGTACTTTAAATGATTACAGGAGGAGAGGCTCTGAAGAAGGCTTCAGACATGAGAGAACACCCAGAATAGAATCCTCAGTCAAAGCAGAGGAGTCAGAGGTTCCATAGATGGGAAACAAATGGTGGTCAAAACTACATAGGCAGGCCAGGCACAGCAGCTCACACCTGTAATCCCTATACTTTGACAGGCCGAGGTGGGCGGAACACTTGAGGTCAGGAGTTTGAGAGCAGCCTGGCCAACACGGTGAAACCCCATCTCTACTAAAATTACAAAAAATTAGCTGGGTATGGTGGCAGGCACCTGTAATCCCAGCTACTCAGGAGGCTGAGGCAGGAGAATCACTTGAACCCAGGAGGCGGAGGTTGCAGTGAGCCAAGATTGTGCCACTGCACTCCAGCTTGGATGACAGTGCAAGACTCCGTCTCAAAAAAAACACTACATAGGTAATCAGAAATCAAGATTGATACAGAATTCAAAATGACAAGACAAAGTCTGTCATCATCACAGTTTCTGTTTTCTGTTTGTTGACTACTCCCAAACAAAAGCTGAGAAAGAGGGTCCAGGCTTGGTTACCCCTATACCGTAGACTCTGACTGGTGCATGGTGATTTTGGGGGACAGAGGTGAAGCTACAGATTATTTTTCCTGAACATTAACACTAGAATGAGGTATTTTCCTTCCCCATCCCACTGCAATCTTCACTTTACCCTCATATTCACCACCACCCATAACCCGGGCTTACTCACCACCTGCTCATTGGTTTTCCCAAAAAATGCTTCAGCAAAGACTGAGACAACAAAGACGTTGATGATGAAGGAAACAAAGAGTGCAATGCAGGATTCAATGAAAAAGTACTTATTGGCTTCTCGAACTTCCTGCTTATTGTTCCGGTTTACCTGTCTAGACTAGAATGACAACAACAGCAGTCACTTTTTGACCAGTTAGAACAAGTTTCCTTGTAACATTTCAGGAGTTTGGAGTCAGCTGAGAGATTTAGGGGACAAACAGTTGACCAGACAAAATGTGAGAGATCCAACACTCACCTACATCCTAGTTACTGAGCAATTAAGAACTTCATATCGGGGGAGAAAAAAGAACTTCATGCCCTTTCGTTGAACTGTACATTCCCCAAATAGGGAACAGAGACTAAATGACTACTGAGCTCTCAGTTACTCTCAGTGGCTGGAAGGACCACTGACCTATAAAAACAACCTGATTTCAGTCCTAAGGTGTGCATATCCCTATTTATAAAGGTTTCTGAAATGTCTAAGCAAGCTATTACGTAATACTGATGGTAAAAGCCTCTCTGGGCTTCTTTACCCCTGGCCTCCATAAGCTCACTTGAGCTTTTGAAATTTAAACACAAGAGACTTGATACACTTCTGACATTTTATGAAAAACTTTAGTCCCAGCTGGGTGCAGTGGCTCACGCCTGTAATCCCAGCACTTTGGGAGGCCACGGCGGGTGGATCACTTGAGCTCAGGAGTTCGAGACCAGCCTGGCCAACATGGTGAAACCATGTCTCTACTAAAAATAGAAAAATTAGCCAGGCGTGGTGGTGCACGCCTGTAATCCCAGGTATTCGGAAGGCTGAGGCACGAGAATGTCTTGAACCCGGGAGGCAGAGGTTTGCAGTGAGCAGTGATCATGCACTCCAGCCTAGGCGACAGAGCAAGACTCTGTCTCAATTTAAAAAAAAAAAAAAAAAAAGAACTTTAGTCCCACCTGCTTTATGCAGTTAGTAATCTCTGGTCAATCTGGTGATAAAAAATATCATCTAAGTATATGGAGTTTATAAATGTCCAGCCTTGGAAAATACCTTGCTCCTTCAATGTCCTAACAATTGTAAACTAACTTTGTGTCCCTTGCAACTGAAGGAAAAGATCCCATGAACTGTCTACGAGGTGAAGGAGATAAGGGCCTTGCTCACCTTGACTAAGGCAGAATGCAGGTACATGTTGTGTGGCATGATGACAGCTCCCACGATGCCCACAGCCTGTTCAATCTGTGGAGTGCGACAGCCTGAACAGGATGGTACGAACATGCCCTTGAGTACCTGGCTCTGGCTGGGTTTCACTGTAACATACTATATACCAACATAACAATGATTAGCCTTTACAGGAACGTGAAACAGGGGAGTAACATAGTACTAGGGAACAGTTAGCATCCCTTACCCCTTAAAACCTCTTCTTCTTCTTTCTTTCTTTATTTTTATATTTTTTGAGATAGGATCTTGCTCGTCACCCAGGCTGGAATGCAGTGGCATGAGCACAGCTCACTGAAACCTCAATCTCCCGAGTTCAAGCAATCTTCCCACCTCAGCCACCCAAAGTGCTGGTATTACAGGCCACCACACCTGGCCACAATCTTTTCTTCTGCAACTACCTAAGATAATGAGGAATACAGAATCATCATAGGACCAAGCAACATAAGGGGCTTACTACCAGGGGCCAGAGAATTCAAGACTGAGTATCCAGACAGTTTACATCACATCTTAGATATATGAAACATATGTGTATGATACGTAATTAATATTCTAAAGAAAGGGCTGGGTATGGTGGCTCATGCCTATAATCCCAGCACTTTGGGAGACCAAGGCAGGCAGATTGTTTGAGCCCAGGAGTTCAACAGCAGCCTGGCAACACAACGAAACCTTATCTCTACAAAAATTACCTTGGTGTGGTGGTGTATACCTATAGTCCCAGCTACTAGGGAGGCTGAGGTGGAAGGATCACTTGAGCCCAGGAGGAGGAAGTTGTAGTGAGCTGAGATTGTGCCACTGAACTCCAGCATAGGCAATAGAGTGAGACTCTGTCTCAAAAAAAAAAAGCCAGGCACCTTGGCTTACACCTGTAATTCTAGTACTTTGGGAGGTTGAGGCAGGTGGATCATCTGAGGTCAGGAGTTCAAGACCAGCCTGGCAAACTTGGTGAAACCCCGTCTCTATGAAAAATACAAAAATTAACCAGGCATGGTGGCAGGTACCCGTAATCCCAGCTATGTGGGAGGCTGAGGCAGGAGAATCGCTTGAACCTGTGGGGCCAAAGTTGCAGTGAGCCGAGATCATGCCACTGCACTCCTGCCGGGGCAAAAGAGGGACACTCCATCTCAAAAAAAAAAAAAAAAGAAAGAAAGAAAAGAAAAAAGAAAAAGCTGCTAAGGGACTTGTGCATGGTGGCTCACACCTGAAATCCTAGCACTCTGGGAGGCCAAGATGGGCAGATCACTTGAGGTCAGCAGTTCAAGACCAGCCTGGCCAACATAGCGAAACCCCATCTCTACTAAAAATACAAAAAGTTAGACAGGCATGGTGGTACACACCTATAATCTCAGCTACTTGGGAGGCTGAGGCACAAGAACCACTTGAACCTAGGAGGCAGAGGTTGCAGTAAGCCAAGATCATACCACTGCACTCTAGCCTGCATGACAGAGCAATGCTCTGTCTCAAAAATAATAAATAAAAATCTAAAAATTAAAAAAGAATATAGAATCAATTTTTATTATCCATACTTAGCATATTTCTGTTCACCCACGTTCATTTAAAAATCACTTGATGTTTGCCACTAGTACATATGTAGTAAGAGCTCATCCTTAAACACTCTCATATATATTTTTCCCCAGTTCAGGATTTCTCTTGGAAGCCTTAGGCCAAGAGGCATAATCGACCCATAGATTACATATATTTTTTAAAGTTCAGCCAGAGCCAGACCAGTAAGCAGAAATCAGTTTATAAGAACTGTACAGGGCCGGGCGCGGTGGCTCAAGCCTGTAATCCCAGCACTTTGTGAGGCCAAGATGGGCGGATTACGAGGTCAGGAGATCGAGACCATGCAGGCTAACACGGTGAAACCCCGTCTCTACTAAAAAATACAAAAAATTAGCCGGGCGAGTTGGCAGGCGTCTGTAGTCCCAGCTACTCGGGAGGCTGAGGCAGGAGAATGGCGTGAACCCGAGAGGCGGAGCTTGCAGTGAGCTGAGATCTGGCCACTGCACTCCAGCCTGGGCGACAGAGTGAGACTCCGTCTCAAAAAAAAAAAAAAAAAAAAAAAGAACTGTACAAAGAAAGGTGCTAGTACTACAAATAATGTTAGTGACTGTAAGGAGTTTCTGGGTTGAGGCACAAACCAGGAAATATCCAGGATATCTCATATAATTCATTAACTGTTTTAATATTGGGAAAGTTCAAGCTGCAATTAACATAAACCAGGATGAGCAAAAGCAGAACTCCTCTAAGTTAACAGCCAAGAATAACCCTGCAAACCCCTCCTTAATTAACCCTATCCATGGCTGTTCTGTTGTCAGATGGTCAACTTGGGACCAAGGAATCTTGTCTGGAAAGCCCTAAAATATCTAGTCATTTTAAACCTGGAAGTCCCTGCAGGCCTTTCTGCATACTAATGTTTGCTATGGATCATATTCCTTCAAAACTGGCCCAGGGATAAATTGGCTTTTGTTGATACACCCACTATAACTGAACCATACTAGCATTATTACTGTCTTTTATAATAAAAGGCTAAAAAAAAACCCACAAAAACTTATTTTAAGAAGCTAATGAATACCCTGTACCACTTGCCTCATATCCAAATGTGAGGGCCATAATAGTGATGAGAAAGCCAAAAAACGCTTCGAGCTTCCGTAAGCCTAAGGGAAAAAGGCAGCAGTGAGCTCAGAGAAGGCAGACTTCCCCATCTGCCACATGACAGAGAGCAGCTCCTTCGACCCTCCCATTTCCACTCTCCTTACCATATTTGTCCAAGAAGAGAAATACAAAAGTATCTGCAATGGTGATGAGAACGCCACCCCACAGAGGAACCCTAGGTCAGAGATGAGATATGGAAGTCAGAGAGACAGAAAAAAAGGAAACATTGAAAAACAGTCTCTTCCCAACAGCTCTCCAGATAAAGAACACTTGGAGAAGCTAGGACTTGAGGGAGGAGGGACAATGGCAGAAAACCAGGCCTTGGGTAAAGTAAGGTAACAGCATCAACTTAATTACATTCATTTAAACTTTAATTGAGAGCCTACTATGTCACTCTTAGGATACAAAGCTGAAAAGTGTGGGTCTTACCCTCATGGAGTTAGATGGATAGAATTTTATAGGATTAGACAGATAGTATCCAGTGGGGGCCGGGTGTAGTGGCTCACACCTGTAATACCAGCACTTTGGGAGGCTGAGGCGGGCATTCCTAAACCTGAGGTCAGAAGTTAGAGACCAGCCTGGCCAACATGATGAAACCCTGTCTCTACTAAAAATACAAAAATTAGCTGGGCATGGTGGCAGGCGCCTGTAATCCCAGCTACTCAAGAAGCTAAGGCACAAGAATTCCTTGAACCTGGGAGGCGGAGGTTACAGTGAGCCAAGATCACACCACTGCACTCCAGCCTGGGTGACAGAGAAAGACTCTGTCTCAAAAAAAAAAAGAAAGAAAAAAGAAAAAAAAAAGATAGTATCTAGTGGGATAAAACAACATACAAATCAATAATTGCGATACAAAACGCCACACATTCTAATAAAGGTAAGCATAACTCACCATGGGAAATGGAAGATGTAGAGTCTACATCTACCAGGGGAGAAGAAATTGTTTCCAGAAAGATTCCACAGAAGAAATAACAATTGAGTTGAATCTTCAAACTTAAAAATGAATTGGGTTTTTGTTTTTATCTCTGCTTTGAAATCCAGCAAAACATTGATTACTTTCTAGAGAAAAACCCCCTCACCTTCCTACAGACAGAAGATTGATGGCAATGGCTGAGCCAATGACTTCTTGCATATCTGAGCCGATGATAGCCAGCTCCACCATCAGCCACAGGATGATCCGTGGGACCTAAACACCAAACAGTAGAAAGACATGGTTCTGATTAATCACTTCTAAAAAATTCCTCCACAATTTGGAATTCACACTTTGGCACTAAACCATAAACAGTCCTTTATAAGCCTCCAGACTAGAGAAGAAATACCAGAACATGCCTCCACTTGGCCGATGACTGCACTGTGGCTCTCAGCTGGAGAAGGAAAACTGTGCGACCACGTGGCAGAGCCTGTGAACGAAGGTCAAGGCAGTAATCTTACTTTTTTCTTTTTCCTTTCTACTTGAGAAGAATGTAATTTCCATTTAATTTCCTAAAAAGAATCCTAAAATTTTTAGAGGAGAATAAGGATGCTAATACGGTCAAAATATGGGTCAAGAAAGAATATTAAATGATTGCAGAAGAGCATATCTATCCTGACCATAGCTGGGAAGACAAAACAAACATGAAAAGATTGGGGTAGGCCGGGCACAGTGGCTCACACCTGTAATTCCAGCACTTTGGGAGACTGAGGCAGGTGGATCACGTGAGGTCAGGGTTCAAGACTAGCCTGGCCAACATGGTGAAACCCCGTCTCTACTAAAAATACAAAAATTAGCTGCGCGTGGTGGTGCATGCCTGTAATCTCAGCTACTCAGGGGTCTGAGGCAGGAGAATCGCTTGAATCTGGGAGGCAAAGGTTGCGGTGAGCCGAGATGGTGCCACTGCACTCCAGCCTGGACAACAAAGCGAGACTCTATCTCAAAAAAAAAGGTTGGGGTCGACCAGGCACAGTGGCTCATGCCTGTAATCCCAGCACTTTAGGATGCCAAGACAGACAGATTCCTTAAGCAAAGGAATTTGAGACCAGCCTGGGCAACATGGCAAAACCCCATCTCTACAAAAACTACAAAAATTGGGAGCTAAATGGTAAGAACTTATGAACACACAGACAGAAACAACAGACACTGGGGTCTACTTGATAGGGGAGGGTGGGAGGAGAGAGAGGAGCAGAAAAGGTAACTATTGGGTACTGGGTTTAATATCAGGGTGATGTAATAATATATACAACAAACCCCTATGACACGTGTTTATCTATGTAACAAACCTTCACATGTGACTGCTCTGCCTACGGAATAGCCTTTCTTTACTCCTTTACTTTCTTAATAAACTTGCTTTCACACACACAAAAAAAACCTTCACAGCCGGGCACGGTGGCTCAAGCCTGTAATCCCAGCACTTTGGGAGGCCGAGACGGGCGGATCACGAGGTCAGGAGATCGAGACTATCCTGGCTAACACGGTGAAACCCTGTCTCTACTAAAATATAAAAAAAATTAGCCGGGCGTGGTGGCGGGCGCCTGTATTCCCAGCTACTTGGGAGGCTGAGGCAGGAGAATGGCGTAAACCCAGGAGGCGGAGCTTGCAGTGAGCTGAGATTGCGCCACTGCACTCCAGCCTGGTGACAGAGCGAGACTCTGTCTCAAAAAAAAAAAAAAAACCTTCACATGTATCCTCTCCAAACCTAAAATAAAAATTAAAGAAAAAAAAAATTATCCAGGCATGATGGCGTACGCCTGTAGTCCCGACTACCTGGGAGGCTGAGGCAGGAGGACTGCCTGAGCCCCAGTGGTCAAGGCTGCAGTGAGCTGTGATCATGCCACTGCACTCCAGAGTGGGCAACAGACAGAGCAAGACTGTCTCAACAAACCACCACCACAACAACAAAAAAGGTTGGAGTCACCTTTAATGTAGTAATACCCACGCAAGTGAAAAAGAACAGATATGCAAAAGGACTCAAGGGAAGATAGTTGGAATTGGGTGGCATATAACGAAGTCACAAACTAATCTGGCCAAACAATACAGCTAAAAATCAAATTCAGTTATGCTGACTCACTGAAGCCAGAAAAAACACCTCCAGATAGCTAGGATTCAAAACATTTGTCAGGTCACCCATGGTAGCTCATACCTATAATACCCGAATTTTGGGAGGCAGGCGGGAGGATTACTTGAGCCCAGGAGTTCAAGCCCAGGCTGGGTAACATGGTGAAACCCTGTCTCTACAAAAAATTTTAAAAATAGCTGGGTATCATGGTGCATGCCTGTGGTCCCAGCTATTCAAGAGACTGAGGTAGGAAGGCTGCTTGCGCCTGGGAGGTCAAGGTTATAGTGAGCTATGATTGTGCCACTGAACTCTAGTCTGGGTAATAGGGCAAGACCCTATCTAAAAAAAAAAAAAAAAAAAAAAAAGACAGGCCAGGCACAGTATCTCATATCTGTAATCCCAGCACTTTGGGAGGCTGAGGCAAGTGGATCACCTGAGGTCTGGAGTTTGAGATCAGCCTGGCCAACATGGTGAAACCCTGTCTCTATTAAAAATACAAAAATTAGCCAGGTGTGGTGGTATGCACCTGTAATCCCGGTTACTCGGGAAGCTGAGAGAGAAGAATTGCTTGAACCTGGGAGGTCAAGGTTACAGTAAGCCAAGATCACACCACTGTACCCAAGCCTGGGTGACAAAGCGAGACTCGGTCTCAAAAAAAAAAAAAAAAGAGCAGGCTGGGTGCGGTAGCTCACACCTGTAATCCCAGCACTTTCGGAGGCTGAGACGGGCAGATCACGAGGTCAGGAGTTTGAGACAAGCCTGGCCAACACAGTGAAACCTCATCTCTACTAAAAACACAAAAATTGGCTGGGCATGGTGGTGCACGCCTGGAGTCCCAGCTACTCAGGAGGCTGAGGCAGGAGAATCGCTTGAACCCGGGAGGCAGAAGTTGTGGTGAGCTGAGATCACACCACTGCACTCCAGGCTGGGCAACAGAGAGACTCCATCTCAAAAATACCTAAACAAGGCCAGGTGCAGTGGCTCATGTCTGTAGTCCCAGCACTTCGGAAGGCTGAGGTGGGCGGATCACAAGGTCAGGAGTTTGAGATCAGCCTGGCCAACATGGTTAAACCCTGTCTCTACTAAAAATACAAAAATTAGCCAGGCATGGTGGCAGACACCTGTAATCCCAGCTATGCAGAAGGCTGAGGCAGGAGAAATGCTTGAAACTGAAGGCAGAAGTTGCAGTGAGCCGAGATCGCGCCACTGCACTCCAACCTGGGTGAAAGAGTGAAACTCCGTCTCAAAAAAACAAAACAAAACAAAACAACAACCACAAAAACAACAAAAAAAGCAGGCCGGGCACAGTGGCTCATGCCTGTAATCCCAGCACTTTGGGAGGCCAAGGCTGGTGGATCACCTAAGGCCAGGAGTTCGAGACCAGCCTGACCAACATGTTGAAGCCTTATCTCTACTAAAAATACAAAAATTAGCCAGGCATGGTGGAACACGCCTGTAATCCCAGCTAGTCAGGAGGTTGAGGCAAGAGAATCACTAGAATCGCCTCACTGCAAGAGGCAGAGGCTGCAGTGAGCCAAGATCACACCACTGAACTCCAGCCTGGGCAACAGAGTGAGACTCTGTCTCAAAAAAAAAAAAAAAAAAAAAAAAAAAAAAAAAAATTATTATTACAAAATAAGCAACTATTAACATGTATGAAGAAAAAGAAGCTAGGCTTGGTGCAGCAGCTCATGCCTGTCGTCCCAGCACTTTGAGAAGCTGTGGTGGGAGGACTGCCTGAGCCCAGGAGTTTGAGACCAGCCTAGTCAACATAGCAATATCTCATCTCTACAAAAAAAAAAAAAAATTTAATTAGCTGGGTGTGATAGTCCTCGCCTGTGGTCCCAGCTACTTGGGAGGCTGAGGTGGGAGAATCGCTTGAGTCTGGGAGGTCAAGGCTGCAGTGAGCCATGATCACATCACTGCACCCCACCATGGGTGACAAATGAAGACTCCATCTCAAAAAATAAAAAGAAAGAAAAAGAAGCTAGAAGGATTATCAATTACCAAGGTTTTGTTTGTTTTTTAAAAACGTTACGGGTACATAGTAGCTGTATATAGTATCGGGCATATGGGATATTTTGATACAGGCATAAAATGTGTAATAATCACAACAGAGTAAATGGGGATATTACCAAGATTTTTTTATTTTTTTGAAAAGCAGATAAGGATACTTTTTGCTCACATCTAGGAAAAGAAACAAAACAAAAGACAAAGCTAAGTTAAAAATATCTTCCAGATATAGTGTTCATTCTTGCCTTAGGCAATGGTAAGAAAGGCCCAAAATGGGCCGGGCACGGTGGCTCAAGCCTGTAATCCCAGCACTTTGGGAGGCTGAAACGGGCGGATCACGAGGTCAGGAGATCGAGACCATCCTGGCTAACCCAGTGAAACCCCGTCTCTACTAAAAAAATACAAAAAACTAGCCGGGCGAGATGGCGGGCGCCTGTAGTCCCAGCTACTCGGGAGGCTGAGGCAGGAGAATGGCGTAAACCCGGGAGGCGGAGCTTGCAGTGAGCTGAGATCCGGCCACGGCACTCCAGCCTGGGTCACAGAGCGAGACTCCGTCTCAAAAAAAAAAAAAAAAAAAAAAAGAAAGGCCCAAAATGTCCAGAAGGAAGCTGTAGAGGACAGTGTAGCCCCCGGGGGGAAGGGAAACCGAAAAATAATTATTAGCAAATCCAAAGATCCTGCCACATATAGTTTGTAGTAAAAGGAAAAAAACTTACTTTTACAAAGTGATAGCAAAGTCAAACAAAAAAAGAAGATATATAAAATGCAAACTGATGGAGTACCATGGAGGTATGAATAAAAGTGCTTAAAGAGAGTATCCTCCTCCCTGCGGGCTGGGTATTGCTAGATACTGGAAGCCAGAGTGAATTGTAACACAGTTTTTCTAAGAAAACCTTCTAGGAAATGCGAGTCTTAAGTTAGATTTTGAAGGAGCGGGGAAAACATGGCCTGGCAGCAGGAGGAGCTACAGTATTTCCCTTGGTACCATCCGTCTTCAGGGCTACTGGCCCCCAAGTCCTTGACTGTCTCACTATATCATGAGGCCAGCACATACTGCCAGACACAGAGATTTCTACGGCATGAGTGAGAGACAAACAGGACAGTACATTGCTCACCTTGGGATACTGACGGTGACATACTTCAGCAAGATGCAGCCCAGTGACCACTCCCAGTCTAGCTGCAAGCCGCTGGAGCAGCAGCCCCACAAGGGTGGCCAACAGCAGGATCCAGAGCAACTAAGAAGAACAAAATATCCTGTAACACTCATTGAATAACTGAGCTTTGTTTGTTTGTTTAGTTGTTTGGCAACATGAGTGGTAAATACTGCATTCAGAAAAGAGCCCAGGTCAAGAATCAAATGACTTGAGTTCTATATCAGGTTTTGTACATGACCTGCTAAGTCACCTTGCACCTTTCTGAGCCTCAGTTTCTCCTATATGCAGTTTCTCCTTTGTTCAAGGAAACTATGTGGATAAAAATAAGATCAAATGGAAAGTACTTTACATATAAAAGCCACTGCCAATGAAGTATCTGCACGTAGCCCCTGAGGTTACTATCCAACATGCAGGGTGGAGAGGATGTGAGAGTGTATTGTGTGTTTAAAAGGACAGGGGTAGGACTAGATGTTCACCTTAAATCCAGCCACTGCTCCAGACTGCAAATCGGATTCAATATTTCCTGGATCCAGGTAGGCAATGCTCATAAGAAAGCCTGGTCCGGTGAAAGCCCAGAGTTTACGAAAGCTAAAACAAGAGTACTATACAAGAGAGGAAAAGAGATTAAACTGAACATCACTATTGAACTACTGATCTAATTGATCTGTTATCACATATGAAGCAACAACACCAGCCTCACAAGAAAAAAGGATTTACAATGTCAGATATTGCATGTGTCCAAGTTTCACTTCCATTTCACCCACTTTTTATTAAGAAGCTGGCCACTTCTCTAAGTCAGAGCCCCTCCCTTACCTGTGGGTTCCATCAGCCTCTTATTCTAAAACTAGAATAACAGTATCGGTACCTCTGTGCCCAAACACTTCCCAAAAAGGAGAAGAGCCACCATTTTAAAAAGGAAACAAGCCAGGTGTGGTGGTGTGTGGTGTGTGCCTGTAGTCCAGCTACTCGGGACAGTGGAGAGAGCAACAAAAATAAAATGCTAAGCTTCCCCAACCAACTGAATGGATCCTCTTCTTGACCAAGGGCATTCCAAAGAAAACCTGAAAAACTAGTTCAGGCCATGATGGGAGGGAGGGGTCAGACAAACCTCATTATACCCCCTTCCCTTTGGAATTCCGACACCAATGACTAGCATTAAAACAGAGATCTTGGCTGGGTGGGCGCAGTGGTTCACACGTGTAATCCCAGCACTTTGGGAGGCTGAGGCGGGTGGATCACCTGAGGTTGGGAGTTCGAGACCAGCCTGACCGACATGGAGAAACCTCATCTCTACTAAAAATACAAAATTAGGCAGGCATGGTGGCACATGCCTGTAATCCCAGCTACTTGGGAGGCTGACGCAGGAGAATTGCTTGAACCAAAGAGGAGGAGATTGGTGAGCTGGGATCGCAACACTGCACTCTAGCCTGGGCAACAAGAGTGAAACTCCCTCTCAAAACAAACAAACAAACAAGCAAAACCAGAGATCTTAAAACTGACAAAACACATCCCTTATAGCAATAACATGCCAAATTCCAACCAGACTCTAGCATACATGACAGATAACAGGCCCTGAAAGAAATCAAAGTATTTTACTCCAAAATATATTTCTTTGTATATTTTGAAATGACCCTGCAAAGCCATCTCTTATGAGCAAAACCTAGAATATGTAGAGAATCTCCTTCCCTTTCCAGGTCTTTTCCTGATCCAGGAGAGAATTAACTAGTAGTCTGGTACCTTTTTAAGTCTGATAAAAGACATTTACATCTATTTTCTCTGAAGCTTGTTACGTGGAAGCTTCACCTACATAATAAAAACCTTGGTCTCCACAACCCCTCATTTTAGACACTCCACAGCCCCTCATTTTACACCAGGTCTTTAGAAAATAACTGTTTCAACCAATTTCTTTTTTTATTTATTTTTATTTTTGTAGAGACAGGGTTTTGCCATGTTGCCCAGGCTGGTCTCAAACTCCTGGGCTTAAGCAATCCTCCCACTTCAGCCTCCAAAGTAGCTGGGACCACAGGTGTGCACCACCACACCCAACTATTTTCTTTTTTTTTTAAGTAGAGACAAGGTCTCATCATGTTGCCCAAGCTGGCTGGTCTTGAACTCCTGGGCTCAAGCAATCCACCCACCTCAGCCTCCCAAAGTGCTGGAATTACACACGTGAGCCACTGCACCCAGCCTCAATCAACTTCCAAGCAGAAAATCTTTAAATCCACCTTTGACCTGAAAGGTGCCCCCTCCCCACTTCAAGTTGTCCCACCTTTCCTGATGGAACCGATGTACACCTTACATATATTGGCTGATGTTTGCCTGTAACTTCTGACCCCTAAAACGTATAAAATCAAGCTGTTACCCAACCACCTGTTCTCGGGACTTCCTGGGGCTGTGTCACGGGCCTTGGGCACTCATATTTGGCTCAGAATAAACCTCTTTAAATATTTTACAGAGTTTGACTCTTGTTTGTTTGTTTGTTTTGAGATGGAGTCTCACTCTGTCACTCAAGCTGGAGTGCAGTGGTACAATCTTGGCTCACTGCAGCCTCTGCCTCTCAGCTTCAAGTGATTCTCCAGCCTCAGTCTCCCGAGTAGCTGGGATTACAGGCACCCACCACTATGCCCAGCTAACTTTTGTAATTTAGTAAAGACAGGGTTTCGCCATGTTGACCAAGTTGGTCTTGAACTCCTAACCTCAGGTGATCTGCCTGTCTCGGCCTCCCAAAGTGCTGGGATTCAGGTGTGAGCCGCTGCGCCCGATCTGTTTTGTTTTGGTTTTCGTTTTTGACAGGAGGTCTCATTCTGTTACCCAGAGTGAAGTGCCATGACATGATCTTGGCTCACTGCAACTTCTGCCTCCTGAGCTCAAGTGATCCTCCCACCTCAGCCTCCTGAGTAGCTGGAACTACAGGTGCACACCACCATGCCCAGATAATTTTTGTATTTTTTGTAGAGACCAGGTTTCACCATGTTGGCCAGGCTGGTCTTGAACTCCTAGGCTCAAGCAATCCTCCTTCCTTAGCCTCCCAAAGTGCTGGGATTATAGATGTGAGCCTGGGCCCAGCCAGAGTTTGACTCTTTTTCATCAACGAACAAGAGGAAGGATAGCTTGAGGCCAGGAGTTCAAGACCAGCCTGGGCAACACAGTGAGACCCTGTCTCTAAAAACAAAAATAAAAATAATAAGCCTGGCATGGTGGCGTGCCATCTATAGTCCCAGCTACTGGGGAGGCTGAGGTGGGAGGATCACTTGACCCCAGGAATTCAAGGCTACAGTGAGCTATGGTTGTGCCACTGTACTGGAGCCTAGATGACGGAGCAAGATCCTGTCTGTAAAAAAAACATATAAATAGACAGATAGATAGGTAGGCAGATAGATAGATATAGATAGATGTGTGTGTGTGTGTGTATGTATATGTGTATATATATACAGTTTTCAGAGACTTCCAGCCAAAATTAGAGCTGAGGCTGCTGACCCTGAGCCATCCAGCAGATCTTTCACTCACAGGTTTTCCCCAGACCATAGTGCTCTCCTCCAAGATACTAACCTCTTCCTCAGGAATGGAGATCTTCTCATTAAAGTAAGTGGCGAAGTACTCCTCTGAGTCCCCAGGGGACCGTGGAAGAGAGGGATTACTAGAGACAGGGTTGACGGTACCAAGACAGGCAGACTCCCCATGATCTCCAGAAACGCTGTCTGAATTAACAGATTTGAAAATAAATTAGTAAAAAATGAACAAAATACACTAACAATTCATCCTTACTATACTGAAATTAAAATTAAATAGTTTAATACCTAAATGCACAAGAGACCAACCCGACTCTAGCTCAACTTATTTTGAATAGTTTATTTTTAATGTATATTTTATAATAAGTAATACATTCACATGGTTAAAAATTCAGGAAGTAAAAAATTTAGCCTACACTAAAAAAGTTATCTCCCTCCGCTCCCCCAGTCACTCAGCTCCCTAGATCAGTTTTAACTCACAATGGTTTTCCTATTTCCACACTTCTACTCCTGCTTGGGAATTTTTAGAGCCATTTCATTTTCCTCTAAAAACACTGACATATGGGCTCAAAATATTACATTCCCAGACCAGCTCCTGGTAACCTAAAATCCTAGCTTTTAAAAGAAAAGAATTGGGCCCATCTAGCGAAATGTCCTCCCCACCTCCTATATTTGGTAGGACTTACTCAAAGAATTGTCCTTGGACATTATACCTCCGTCAGACTTCTCAAAAAAGGTGCAAGTTACAAAATCCTGCTACAGTTCAGGCTAAACTCTGAAGCTGCAGCAAAACCACCAAGCAGGAACCCTTTGTACTCTGACTAAGGCTTGCAGTGAAGTGCCGCTGGTCACGGGGTACTGGCACCCTCGTGATGGCAGGGCTCATCTCAGACTGATATCAGCGTTTCCCTGAGTTCTGCATTTTGCAGTCAATCTTAAATACTGGGAAGCAGAACGTCTGGGAGAAAAGGGATAACCTGCCAGAAATACACAGAGGCTAGTTTGCTTCAGCCATCAAATGGCTATTTTCAATCACAAAGCTCTAATCTCTGCGTTTCCAATAAATCCTTAAAACCTCTAATTTAAACAAATAAGAGCTTTCTTCCTTCGGGAGCTGACTCATATCATCTTAATTAAGCAGCTTTGAATTCATGAAGAAATTTATAGAAAAGGAACAGAAATTCCAAAGAAGAAGCTCAGATTTAGGAAGAAATAGTCAAAGCACTCAAGAAGCTCCAATCAAATACAGAGCGTAAAGTACTCGTCCTGTATTTTACTACTCCATACACATCTGAAACACCAGGAAGTATCATGAGCAGTCAAAGCACACCAGAGGTTTTTATCCTGAGTCTGGGAATAATATTGTCCTTGTAAGCATTACTGCCAGAAACCAAATTACAACTAATCTTGGCTCAACTCAGAATTATAAAAAAGATATGAAGCAGGCCGGGCGCGGTGGCTCAAGCCTGTAATCCCAGCACTTTGGGAGGCCGAGACGGGCGGATCACGAGGTCAGGAGATCGAGACCATCCTGACAAACATGGTGAAACCTCGTCTCTACTAAAAAAACACACACAAAAAAAAAACTAGCCGGGCGAGCTGGCGGGTGCCTGTGGTCCCAGCTACCCAGGAGGCTGAGGCAGGAGAATGGCGCGAACCCGGGAGGCGGAGCTTGCAGTGAGCCGAGATCGTGCCACTGTACTCCAGCCTGGGCAACAGAGAGAGGCTCCGTCTCAAAAAAAAAAAAAAAAAAGATATGAAGCAGGTCTCTGGTTAAAATCTGTTTTCAGGGCTGGGCGCGGTGGATCATGCCTGTAATCCCAGCACTTTGGGAGGCCGAGACGGGTGGATCACCTGAGGTCAGGAGTTCAAGACCAGCCTGACCAACAGGGCAAAACCCCATCTCTACTAAAAATACAAAAAAATTAGCCGGGCATGGCAGCAGGTGCCTGTAATCCCAGGTACTCGAGAGGCTGAGGCAGGAGAATTGCTTGAACCTGGGAGGCGGAGGTTGCAGTGAGCTGAGATAGTACCACTGCGCACTAGCCTGGAAAACTAAAGCAAAACTCCACCTCAAAAAAAAAAAAAAAAAAAAATTATGCTTTCAGGACAGGCGCAGTAGCTCATGCTTGTAATCCCAGCACTTTGGGAGGCTGAGACGGGCAGATCACCTGAGGTTAGGAGTTCAAGACCAGCTTGTCAACATGGCGAAACCCTGTCTCAACTAAAAATATAAAAATTAGCCAGGCATCGTGGCACGTGCCTTTAGTCCCAGCTACTCGGGAGGCTGAAGCAGAAGAATCACTTGAACCCAGGAGGCGGAGGTTGCAGTGAGCCGAGACTGTGCCACTGCACTCCAACCTGGGCAACAGAGCAAGACTCCACTTCAAAAAAAAAAAAAAATTCATTTTCATTTACAGCCTAAGTCACCAGATGGTGACTTTTGAATGGAATTGTTAGACTAGATGATGATAGATGATGACAAGAGGAAAAATATGATAAATTTCTGTTACCAACATAAATCTAATTACAAATAAAATTAGGCAATAATACAAAACGGTAAATTACCATCTGACATCTTCTGTTCAAGACCCAACACCATGGTGGATACCTGAGTGGCTGAATTCTTAGAATACGATTCTGGAAAGGAGAAAAGGGAGGGAGAAGAATTAGCAAGAACAAACTAACAAGTTCAGAACCAGCAGTTTGTTACTCTGTATGACTGAATCCTTACTATGAAAAGAGTAATTCTTCTACTGAATTAGGTAACCTTGAAAATAATTACAGTTTTCAGATTATGACTGACAGATATTTAACAAAAATAGAAAAGCCTTAGTCAGGATTTTGCTGGCAAGACTTCAAAACCAAATTGAAGTGTTACAGCTCTTTTAGAATGTGTCTGGGCAGGGTTTCTGGTTTTCACTGTGAAACCCTTCACGGATGGCGAGGGGCGGTGGACAAATTGAACAGGAGGTATTTTAGTGAGACGGCAAATACCTTTTTTTTTTTTTTTTTTGAGTCAGAGTCTTGCTCTGTCGCCCAGGCTGGAGTATAGCGGTGCAATCTCAGCTCACTGCAACTTCTGCCTCCTGGGTTCAAGTGATTCTCCTGCCTCAGACTCCCAAATAGCTGGGATTACAGGTGCCTGCCACCACGCCTGGCTAATTTTTTGTATTTTTAGTAGAGACGGGGTTTCACCGTGTAAGCCAGGATGGTCCTAATCTCCTGACCTCATGATCCGCCCGCCTCAGCCTCCCAAAGTGCTGGGATTATAGGCATGAGTCAATGCGCCTGGCCAGGCAAATACTTCTTTAATTAGCATCTACACAGAGGCTGCTAGGCAAGTATCCAGTCTCTGCCTTTGCCTCCAAATTATCCCAAGTGTCTGAAGCCAGACACATTTCCCCCTATTTTATGAGGTTTTTTTTTTCTTTTTTGTTTTTTGAGATGGAGTCTCACTCTGTTGTCCAGGCTGGAGTGCAGTGGCACAACCTCAGCTCACTGCAACCTCCGCCTCCTGGGTTCAAGCAATTCCCCTGCCTCAGCCTCCCGAGTAGCTGAGATTACAGGCGTGCGCCACCACGCCCGGCTAATTTTTGTATTTTCAGTAGAGACAGGGTTTCACCATGTTGGTCAGGCTGCTCTCAAAGTCCTGACATTGTGACCCACCCGCCTCAGCCTCCCAAAGTGCTAGGATTACAGGCATGAGTCACCACGCCCAGCCAAAGATATTTTATGAGTTTTTAAGGACAGAGATCTATAATTCTCTTTGGTCTAAAATATATAATTTAAGTTCATGGTTCAGTCTTCTAGAAAGGGTGGGAAAAAGCACCATACGAGCATACTGGTAGTGGAGGGGCACTATTTGGCAGCCTCAAATCTTCCTGAGAAAGTAAAGTCTACAGGCCGGGCGCGGTGGCTCAAGCCTGTAATCCCAGCACTTTGGGAGGCCGAGACGGGCGGATCACGAGGTCAGGAGATCGAGACCATCCTGGCTAACACGGTGAAACCCCGTCTCTACTAAAAATACAAAAAACTAGCCGGGCGAGGTGGCGGGCGCCTGTAGTCCCAGCTACTCCGGAGGCTGAGGCAGGAGAATGGCGTAAACCCGGGAGGCGGAGCTTGCAGTGAGCCAAGATTGCACCACTGCACTCCAGCCCGGGCTACAGAGCAAGACTCCGTCTCAAAAAAAAAAAAAAAAAAAGAAAGTAAAGTCTACAGCTACAATGTTCCAGACCTCATTCCTCAACCCTCTGACAACTAGAAGAAACTAGTCACCCGTGGCCCAGCCCCTCCTGGGCTCTCCAAGAGAGCTGAAGCACCAGCAGGATTAAGCACAGTGTGCAGGATGCCAGCCTTTGTCTACAGGTCCTGTACTAAGCAACCTGCAGTGGGGTGGGTGGAGTCGGGAGTGGGGTGGAAGTTCCAGATGTCCATCATCCTGTTAAGTTTAATTGGGAGGGAGGATGTTAGCAAGCTCACTTGGGCACAGATCTATGGCATATTCTCCATTGAGCCTCACCAATAAGGCTATTTTTTAAAAAAAAATTTCAATCTTATTATTATCTACTTCTCAGTTGATTTCAAATTTAGAAAGGGAAGGACAACATAGTATTTATTGATAAGCCCCTCCTTAAATCCCAATAATAACTGTCCTACTGAAGAAGTGACGAAGCCTCACTTAATGATCTTTTACTGCTTAAATCTAGTCTTTTTTCCACCCTTGTCCCTTATATGTTGTTCCTACATGAACTATCTTCTACTTGCTGTTTCGGGTTTTGGGTAATCTTTCTATCTACCAACATATTCTGTACTTACAGAATTCAGACCAGAAAGGAGCTTTTTTCTTTTTAGGTTTCATCTGTCTTCTGGGGCTTATATACCACCGCCTGCTAATTTGGAAAACATAATCCTTCCTCTCTAGAGTCACCAACGCCAAGTATTATATTACAATGGACAAGTAGCCATGTCTCTCCTGTCAGGTTTTAAGCCACTAAATGACCTAACATCAGCCAACAGCCCCCAATAATACTGACTAAATTCAACCCCTCTTTCAGTCAATTACAATAACACCTCTCCTAAAGGGGATTTACATATATGACCACTCAGAGTAGCAGTACTCACTTGGATTCCGATCACAGCACAGCCCCTTCATTCCTGGCAAAGGCTTTTTACTTTTGTTTTACATATAATTCTAATAAACTAATGTTATCAGGTTATTTTAACCCACAATAAATTGGAAACCACAAATCGGATCTGGAACTATGCATAGCTCCTCTAGGAAAAGAGGAACTTGGCACACTGAGGAATCAAAAAACTCAAGTACATCAATTAATCTTGGGCAATTTGGTATGAGGCAAACAGTTCTTCCTTATAAGTCAATCAGTTCTGAGAATATTATTACAAGTATAACAACTCAAGTTTCCAATTGTGGCCCTGATCACAATGAGGTGAATGAATTAAATTGCTTTTTTTTTTTTTTGAGACAGAGTTTCACTCTTGTCACCTAGGCTGGAGTGCAATGGCGTGATCTCGGCTCGCTGCAACCTCTGCTTCCTGGGTTCAAGTGATTCTCCTGCCTCAGCTTCCGAAGTAGCTGGGATCAAAGGTGCCCACTACCAAGCCCGGCTAATTTTTGTTTTTGTTTTTTTTAGTAGAGATGGGGTTTCACCACGTTGGCCAGGCTGTAAATCACTTTTGCAATGATGATTAATATCCGGTTTAAGGCACTGGAAAATCAGCTGGGCATGGTAGTGTATGTCTGTGGTGCCAGCTATTGGGGAGACTGAACTAGCAAGACTGCTTGAGCCTGGGGGTCAAGGCTGCGGTGAGCCATGATTGCACCACCGCACTCCAGCCTGGGAGATACAGCGAGGCCGAAGAAAAAGAAGACACAGAAATGTCTCGTCTACATCTGAGGAAGATTTTTATCCAAAATTGGCAAAACAGTCCTTAAAAGTTTTTAATTTTTTTTGAGATGGAGTCTCACTCTGTCACCCAGGTTGGAGTGCAGTGGCGTGATCTCAGCTCACTGCAACCTCTAACTCCCGGGTTCAAGCGATTCTCCTACCTCAGACTCTCGAGTAGCTGGGATTACAAGCACATGCCACGACACTCAGTTAATTTTTCTATTTTTAGTAGAAATGGGGTTTTGCCAGGCTGGTCTCAAACTCCTGACTTCAGGTGATCCACCCGCCTCGGCCTCCCAAAGTGCTGGGATTATAGGCATGAGCCACTGCTCCAGGCCAAAAATTTTTCTTTTAATATAGAACACTTCACAAATTTGCGTGTCATCCTTGTGCAGAGAGGCCATGCTAATCTTCTCTTGATTGTTCCAATTTAGTATACGTGCTGCCGAAGCAAACACCAAAATAGGCTTTTAAAAGTTGTATTTTAAAAGCAAACAATTAAGGTAATAGTGTGATCTTCCCAAGATTGTAGTCTGCAAATATTTTTAGACAGAAATATTTCATGATAAAATGTTAAATAATTGGCCAGGCGCGGTGGCTCACATCTGTAATCCCAGCACTTTGGGAGGCCGAGGCAGGTGGATCATGAGGTCAGGAGATCGAGACCATCCTGGCTAACACAGTGAAACCCCGTCTCTACTAAAAATACAAAAAACTAGCCGGGCGTGGCCGGCGCCTGTAGTCCCAGCTACTCGGGGGGCTGAGGCAGGAGAATGGCGTGAACCTGGGAGATGAAGCTTGCAGTGAGCTGAGATTGCGCCACTGTAGTCCAGCCGGGGCGACAGAGCAAGACTCCTCTCAAAAAAAAAAAAAAAAGTTAAATAATTATTAGTGGTATTCTAAGTTAATTCCTATACCAAGTACATACAGAGCTGTTCAAATACAAAAAGTTTCACTTCTCTCTGAAATCTCAAGAATGAATTATTTCAAGAAAGAAAACAAATTCTAGATTCCAGCCTTTTCAACAAAGCTTTTAGTCAGCGAACTACATGTTTCATTACAGTGCCTACAGAATAAAACTTGGGCTTGGGGTCAGACATGGTGGCTTACGTCTCTAATCCCACCACATTGGGAGGCTGAAGTGGGCGGATCACCTGAAGTCAGGAGTTCAAGACCAGCCTGGCCAACATGGGTGAAACCCCATCTCTACCAAAAATACAAACATTAGCCAGGCGTGGTGGCAGGTGCCTGTAATTCCAACTACCAGGGTGGCTGAGGCATAAGAATCGTTTGAACCCAGGAGGTGGAGATTGCAGTGAGCCAAGATCGTGCCACTGCACTCCAGCCTGGGTGACAGAGTAAAACTCCGTCTCAAAAAAAAAAAAAAAAAAAATTAATAAAACTAGGGAGGGACCGGGTGCAGTGGCTCACACCTGTAATCCCAGTACTTTGGGAGGCTGAGGCAGGCGGATCACCTGAGGTCAGGAGTTCAAGACCAGCCTGACCAACATGGAGAAACCCCATCTCTACTGAAAATATAAAATTAGCTGGGCATGGTAGCGCACGCCTGTAATCCCAGCTACTCGGGAGGCTGAGGCAGAAGAATCGCTTAAACCTGGGAGGCGGAGGTTGCACTGAGCCGAGATCGTGCCACTGCACTCCAGTCTGGGCAACAGAGCAAGACTCCATCTCAAATAAAAAAAAAAAAAATAAATAAAAAAAAAAAAAAAA